GTCCAGGCAGGAAGAAGCCCTGGTGGAGCCACCCCAACCGCTCCCCACTCCCCAGCATGATGACTCTGCAGAGAGTGGGCCAGAGAAGAGCTTTCCACTTCCAAAGAGTACCTCTGGATCCCGAAGGTGGTCTGCAGTCTGGAAGCACTTCTACCTGTCACCTCTGGACAGCTCCAAGGCCGTGTGCATTCACTGCATGAGTGAGTTCAGCAGAGGGAAAAACGGGAAGGACCTGGGTACCAGCTGCCTCATCCGGCACATGTGGCGGGCACACCGTGCCATCGTACTGCAGGAGAAGAGCCGGGGAGCATCCATGCCTCCCCCCTACTCCACGCCACCAACCCTGCTGCCTGCCCTCCTGCCTCCTGAGAGAGATCCAAACTTGGTGTCCTCATCACCAGGCAACGAGGTACAAGAGTCCCCCTCGGCGTCCTCCTCCCCTGACCAGCTGACTGAGCACCTGCAGGCATGTCTGAAACCTGGAGATTCGCCTTTGGAAGATGCATCAGTATTGTCATCCTCTGATGATGTGGGCGAGGCCTCGTTGGTGTCCTCCCCTGAGAAGCAACAGGGTGATGGGTTAAGCCCTCACATGGTTGGGTCTGGTGTTATATTCCAACAGAATCAAAAGGTGATGAAGAGACTGAAGTCGGAGGTCTGGCATCACTTTTCCCTCGCCCCCATGGACAGTCTGAAGGCGGTGTGCAGACACTGCAGCTGTGTCATCAGTCGAGGAAAGAAGGGTGACGTGGGCACCAGCTGTTTGATGAGACATCTCTACAGGCGCCACCCAGAAGTTGTTGGGAACCAAAAGGGCTTCCTGGGGGCTAGTTTGGCAAACCCTCCATACAACACCTTGGCATCCACAGAAACTTCCTCCAAACTAACTGACCTTCCAGCAGTGGTTACCAAAAGCAGTCCAGTTCTATTTCCCGTTCACAGCAAAAAGACCTCCAAGCTGTGGAATCACTTTTCTGTCTGCTCTGCAGACCCCACTAAAGTCGTGTGCTTGCACTGTGGCCGGACGATAAGCAGGGGCAAGAAGCCAACTAACCTGGGCACCAGCTGTCTTCTGAGGCATTTACAAAGGTTCCACGGCAGCGTGCTGAAGACCGATGTCCCCAAGACCATGCTGCCCTCTCCTCCAGGCGTCAGCGTGCCCCTGAGCGCAGAATTGTCAGGAGCTTCCTCCTTTGACGACACTGATGAGAAGTTTTATGATTCTCATCCAGTTGCCAAAAAGATAACAAGTCTCATAGCTGAAATGATTGCACTTGACCTTCAGCCATATTCTTTTGTTGATAATGTTGGCTTTAACAGGCTGCTCGAATACTTGAAACCTCAGTACTCTTTGCCCTCCCCTTCCTACTTTTCCAGGACAGCTATCCCCGGAATGTACGATAATGTGAAACAAATCATTATGTCACACCTTAAGGAAGCTGAGAGTGGTGTGGTCCACTTCACATCTGGAATATGGATGAGTAACCAGACCCGGGAGTACCTGACACTCACTGCTCACTGGGTCACCTTCGAGTCTTCGGTCCGACCTCACTGTGAGGATCACCACTGCTCAGCACTGTTAGACGTGTCACAGATTGACTGCGACTATAGCGGCAACAGCATTCAGAAGCAGCTGGAATGTTGGTGGGAGGCATGGGTGACATCCACTGGCCTTCAGGTTGGCATTACAGTGACTGACAATCCCAGCATAGGAAAGACGCTGAATGAAGGGGAGCACTCCAGCGTGCAGTGCTTCAGTCACACGGTGAACCTCATTGTCAACGAGGCCATTAAGAGCCAGAGAATGGTGCAGAATTTACTCAGCATTGCTCGGAAGCTATGTGAGCGCGTGCTTCGCTCACATGCAGCAAAAGAGAAACTGGCAGAGCTGCAGAAGGAGTATGAATTGCCGCCCCACCACCTTATTCAGGACGTCCCGTCCAAATGGAACACGTCGTTTCATATGCTCGAACGGCTCATTGAGCAGAAGAGAGCAATTAACGAGATGTCCATCGAGTGTAATTTCAGAGAACTGATCAGTTGCGACCAGTGGGAGGTCATGAAGTCTGTGTGTCATGCACTGAAGCCCTTTGATGCTGCGAGTCGGGAGATGAGCAGCCACATGTCTACCCTCAGCCAGGTCATCCCCATGATCCACATTCTGAACAGAAAAATCGAGATGCTGTTTGAGGAGACCATGGGCATCGACACCATGCTGAAGTCTCTGAAGGAAGCCATGGTGAGCCGACTGTCCGCCACCCTCCACGACCCCAGGTACATCTTTGCTACACTGTTGGACCCTCGTTACAAAGCCTCCCTGTTCTCCGAGGAGGAGGCGGAGCAGTACAAGCAGGATTTAATCAGGGAACTAGAAATGCTGAATTCTACCTCAGAGGACATACCTGTCTCCAATGGGTGTCCTCCAGGCTCCCCATCGAGAGACTCCAGTGGGGACGAGAGCCTGTGGTCACTCATGGCCAAGATAAAAAAGAAAGGCCCAAGAGAAAAGATGAAGGTTCCTGAGGCCATGGTGCTTTCTTACCTGGAGGAGGAGGTGCTTGAACACAGCTGTGACCCACTTACCTACTGGAACCTAAAGAAGTCTGCCTGGCCAGGACTCTCAGCCTTGGCCGTCAGGTTTTTGGGTTGTCCCCCGAGTATTGTCCCTTCGGAAAGGCTGTTCAGCACACCCACTGAGAACGGTAGCTTTGGCCAGTCCAGGCTCATGATGGAACATTTTGAAAAACTTATCTTTTTGAAAGTGAATCTTCCATTAATATACTTTCAGTATTGAAATCACAATGGAGCCACCAGGCTAAAGATGTTGTTGCTCATTAGGCACCAGCTGTTTGTCACAGGCTGTTGTTTGGCACCAGTTGGTGCCAAGGGGGACATCAGACCGGGCACTCTCAGGTCCACACTGAGTTTCTCTTGAAGTCTCACCATAATGTCTATATGTGCCTTACTCCTAGTCCTTCAAGCCAGGTACCACGGTGTGTTTTTTACAAAGCCACTAGAAATAGCCTGTCTTGTCAATTATGAAATATGGTGTTTAGGTTTAAATCCATAACTGTTACGTTTTTTTAAAAGCTGGGGGTTAGTTATTTGTTTTACTAGAAACACAGAAGATGCAAACAGTTTTATTCTTTATTTTTTTCACTATGTAAGAACAAATCAGGTACCGTATTTTAGTTAAAAATTGTTTTAATTGCAACAAAGCAGCCTTTGTGGCTGTCAAATAAAATTTGGAAATAGGTGGAGTAGAAGCCACCCTGACTGAGTGGTTTTTACCTGCATCTCTAATAATGTGAGGAGTGCAGAGAATATTTTGGAAGATACTGTTTGCTACAACAAAGATGCGGCATTTGAAGACAAACTAAAATGTAACATGGAATGTCAGTTACATGGTGGTTGTAAGGAGAGCTTCCCCATGTTCTGGTTTTGTGTTGAGGTTTCACATGGTCAGTTACATCAGTGACATCCTGACTCTAAAACGTGCTCCTTGCTGCCTGTTGTCCAATACGTTTACAGCAGCTCTGGTGACTGAACCTCTGAGCCTCTGACGTAGTGTCTCTACTTTGAAACTATAGACTTCAAAATAGTGTTTCTATTTTGAAATGTGTGTAGTGCCCCCCCAATTTGATCAAATCACGTGTAAAATTCTCTTTAGAGGAGGTGATATAACAGGGAAGAAGACTGTTATATTACAGTTGTAAGAGTAGCCTTCGGTGTTTTTTGACAATACAGAAGACTCAGCCATCACGGGTATTTTAGAATCCCAGGGACATCAGAATGAAATGCCAGTTTTCAGATTCTTTTAACAATATGTCCTCAGAGTTTTTGCTTCAACATGTAGAAAAGGATTCCTTTTCTTATTTTATACCAATTAAATTTGCTGGGTGAAACAAGTCACTCATTGCCTGTGCCCTTTTAGAAAAGTTGTTTCCTCAAAATACTGTACTTGTTATTAATCTCACTTTGCATTGACTATGTTTTGGTATATTTATAAATAGGGAACTGAGTTTCTGAAATTAAACTTTTTATTTGCAATTTTCTACTGTTGGTGGAAGCTGGCTTTTTCTTCTTAAGATGATAAAGTAGTCATATCCTTTGGGTGCCAATGTACATGGCAACCTCATTCATGCCGCCCTTGAATTACCACCTTAGTTCCAGATAGGACATAGGAGAGGTGATGAAGTGGTCCTTCCAACAGCTTTTCTGAGATGGTGCTGACTTGTGTTCAGAATGATTGCTTTTCCATGCATACTGCCCAAACAGAAGAGCCTGTGGACAGCCTCACAGTTGCCTTGGCCATTAGCCTCTCCTGAGATGCTGTGTGCAAATTCCCAAGTCCAGCCTCTGTTCCAGAGCCCCAGGAGCACCAGTTGGGGCCACGTTGTGAATCATGCTCATGCGGTATTTCCATGACTTACGTGAGAATCCCTATAAATGTGTGCTCAAGGCAATACTATGTGTAAAGTCTCCTCCAGTTTGAGATTCAGGCTGTCATCAGTCTTCCCTGTGCTGGGTCTAACCAGATCCAGGAAATGAGTTCAAAAGGCCAGAGTAGATTTCCTGGAGGTCCAGTGTTGGGCTCATGGCTTTCCTGAAGGGAGAGTCTACCAGCTCGGGCTGGTAGTAGCCCTGCCTTACAAGGTGGAGGTCATGGGTGGCTTCTGGCTGGGGGCCCTAGGCTCTTGAGTGCTCAGCTGAATTTGACATGGGAAACGTTTCCTTGAAGGGTCTGTACATGTGGTGCCAGACTGATGGTCTTAGACGTTCAGGTCTGTAAACTGCTCTTCTGCCTCCAGTTCACCAGTCATGAGCTAGGGCTTCCCGACCCTCAGGAGCCTATGGACCATATGAGGCTCTATGCATGCTGAGCACCATTTGTTTCGGTTGCCAAGCCCATGTCAGGGATATGCATTGATGTACTTGCCTTTTGTACTCATGCTCCAATGGTTCAACTTGGGTTTCCACTATAGGGGAGGGTTCATCATGCATGGACAGCTCTTAATGGTTGTCACAGAGACAGGCCCACAGAGCCGGATGTTTACTGTTGGGTCCATTATAGGACTAGCTTGCTCACTTCAATGGGCAGAGAACATGGTCCAAGGGTTGGACCTCAAGTGATGGGCATGCAGCGGTTCTTCGTGCGTTTATTCACGTTGAGTATAGAAATAGGTCCTGTGAGCCTTGCGGAAACAGTCAAACCCTGTGTTCTTGTGCTGCTGACAATGCTGCAGGAAATAGGCCCAATGCTAACAGCTGTCTGGTGCTGCTCACAGCTGGTCCTGATACCGATGTTTCCCAATAGAGGAATGCAACTGGAAATGCGGCTGCTCTTGGCCATCCCGCTATAGCTCATTCAGACCGGAGTACCAAGCTGTTCATTTCCCTGCTGTATGTGATATCTGGGGCAAGAGGCACTTCTCTGGTCACTCCTAATAAAAAGCTCTTAGTGTAAGTCTCGGGAATTGCCTTGTTTCAGTGAGTGGATGCTGTTATATGTAAATAAAATGTTGGACTTAGTGAAAACTTCCTTCTACTTCAGACTGTGAGGCAGCAGCTGGTATCAGACCAAGAACTGTTCTAAGAACAATCTTTTTGAAGATACCAAGGAGCACCTCAAGGATTTGAGGAAGCACAATTCTAGTAAGGAGATACTTGCACGAAGGCAAGTCTTCTGTCCACAATTGTAGAGCTGTCAGTGGTGACACTGGGCTGGGGAGACCCATGGTGACATCAAGGAGGACTGCAAAAGCCAAGGTCTTGAAGAAGAGGGAGCTTCAGGAGGGGCTGTGTCCTTGCAGCCTCCCCAGGGACAGGTGCTGGCCTGTGAGGTTCTCATGTTCAGGGAGAGAGGCTGAGAAGTGGGCACCCGTGCAGGGAGACAACTGGACTGCAGTGCCTGTCAGCAAGAGGACCCCAGGTTTCCAGGGGAGACCCCTGGAGGCAAAACGGGATAGACCAGTCATCACAAAGCCTGAAACGGCTGCATCACCTTGACCTTGAGCACATCACAGTGGCCTGCCCTATTCCGCTTTTCTTCCCAAAGGAAAAGACCCAGAGCTTCTATTGTTTTCCCTACGAACAGTTTGACTCTTAGTAAGAAATTATCCAACACTAAAAATAGGATCAAAGACTGTGAAAGTAAGAGAATGGATAACAGAAACAGACACACAGTTGATCCAAATTCCAGTTTGCAGACATTGACACTGATTAATACATTGAAGAAATTTGATAAGGGGGAGAATGTCCTTCCACTCCTGAGAATATTAATCTATAAACACATTCTAAAACTGAAAAATAAGATGACAAATTAAGAATTGAAAAGATGCACCTAATACAAGTTAGATGGGAAGACTGCTGGATTGGAAGCCAGGACAGGAGAAAAGCTCTGACTGAAGTGCAGCAAAAGGACGTGGCACAGGACAGGGGGAGGTGACAGGTTCCGGGAGTCCTGGAGGAAGAAAACACAGGCAGTACCTGAAGGAGACAGTGAGTGTACAAGGCTTTCCCAAACTGACAGCGGACAAATCCATGGATCTCAGAATGTCAGGGTAAATGAAAAAGGACACACAAAAACCTACACCTAGGCACATCACAATAAAGCACTAAAAACCAAAGATAGGAAATCTGAAAAGCAGAGAAAAATAGAGACACTTCAGAGGAACAACTCAACTGTCAGCGTACTTTTTTTTTAAAATATATTTTATTGATTTTTTACAGAGAGGAAGGGAGAGAGATAGTTAGAAACATCGATCAGCTGCCTCTTGCACATCTCCTACTGGGGATGTGCCTGCAACCCAGGTACATGCCCTTGACCAGAATCGAACCTGGGACCTTTCAGTCCGCAGGCCGACGCTCTATCCACTGAGCCAAACCGGTTTCGGCTTTTTTTTTTCTTTAACAGAAACAATGAAAGTTAGCCCTGGCCAGTGTGGCTCAGAGGTAGAGTGTTGGCCCATACACCAAAGGGTCATGGGTTCAATTCCCAACTAAGAACACGTATCTGGGTTGCAGGTTCTTTGGCTGGCCCAGTTAGGGTGTGTGCAGGAGGCAACCAATTGATGTGTCTCACATCATCAGTGTTTCTCTCCCTGAATCTCCCTTCACTCTCTCTTAAAAAAAAAAAAAGAAAAAATATCCCAGAGTGAGGATTAACCAAAAGAAGAAGTAAAAAATAATAAAATTTATAACAATGTTATGGCATCTGTAATGCCAACCCAGACTCACATGCCCAGCACAGATACTTCAAAAATGATGGTGAAAGGAAGTTTCAGACAAAACAGAAAGGATATGTCACCAGTAGACCTTCCCTGCAATATCTCCTGAAGGGTATTTTCCAGGCAGAAGAGGAACCATTCCAGATGGACATGTGATGTTGCCAGAGGAATGAGGGACATTTCTAGGAAGGGTAGAAATGGGGAATCAAAATGAGTACTGGCTGTTTACAACAGTGGTATCATTTAGGGTTTAAAGGAAAGGCAGACTGAGATACATAGACAACAGCAGGACAGGTGTGCAGGACAGGACGGGAAGCAAAAGCCGACTGGGCCCTTGTGCTGTAACTATTTGGGAGCTCTGTTGAATATTAAAGGCTCATAGGTTCCAGGGGAAGACTTGGAGGGTGA